GGGTCAGTTTGGTTTACATTGGTCCATCGAAAACAGGGAGAAATCATTGCAGTGTGTGCATCAATCAGGTATAACATTATGACCACATGACATTCTCTATAGTCCAGTAATCTCGATAGTTCAATGACCTCTATATTAATTGGTTGGATTAGGACTGCAGAATATAACACAAAATTATCAATAGCGCAATACTGACTAATGCAAAGTGGCAATAAATGAATAATATAACAATAAAACCGAGATCAGGCTGAAAATTATGTATGTTTTTAATCAAAGCTTTTAAATATGACTTATTTTACTAATGATTTGGTACAATGTCCTTATTAGCCATGGTTATTTTTTTTCAGACAAGTAAATTAAGACATGTACATTTTTGTTTTAATAAAAAAAAAACTATTGTATCTAGGAGTATATGGAAGTCTTGCAGTAATATTGATATTGCAGTACTCTCATATATCAGTGTTTTACAATATTGTGCAGTCCCAGGGGGAATAATTTCATTTTCTCCCTCCTTGCATTGGCATTTGAGTGACTTTGGCAACTAAAAGCATGTGCAAGCAAAGCCTTCATCTAATTACTCCATGAATCCAGGACCCAGAAGTGTTCTTTTCCAAAAACGAAAATGGTAATCTATAACCATAACTTGACCCAATATATAGAGAGATAGTATGTCAAACTAATTGACTGAAGCTGAAATCAATCTCACGATGCTAGCGGTTATAGGGGCGAATTTGGAGCCAGTTCTGTATAGGATTTAGTTACAAAATATCAAAACAAAAACACCAGGATCATGTAGAGCATGTTAATACAATCATTTTAAGCCCAAAATGATGAGTCTCATTGTAGCAGTTACAGAAAGAAAAGTGACAATTTTTTTTACGTAAAATCAATTTGAAACGGAGTCGATGGAGCCCCATTTTCACTTCCTGTTTGAAACGTGCTGGTTATGTCTATTTATATACAGTCTATGGTCATACTACATTGCAGTTTGAATGAGGACATATGTTACATATATTAGACAGGTGGTCATAATGTTATGCCTTACACATTTTATTTATATATATTTTTTATTTTTATTTTTTGTTTTTTCAATTGACTCCAAAACCTGCTTGAAATCATGAGTGGATGCATTGGAATATAAATTAGCTTGTGGACAGGTTTACACATTGGCCACAGTTCCTTGGTAATAAAAAGAATTGTCACGCGGCCTGCAGGGAGCTCAGTGCCTCTGCTCCTCTGTGCTCCCTCTATAAAGTCCTGGAACAGCAGGTAGCACCACTGCCGATTCACCACTCACCCAGAGCCCTCCCCACTCATAAAACAGAGGTCGTTAGGCACAAAGACAGGCCTGCCTCAAGCTAAAAGGGGCATAAAATACTATCATCATGACTTTTTTGCTATTAACTGTAAACTGGCATTGCTTGTTGCCAGTTTGTAGTATCATTTTTTTGGTTCATTTTTCCTGTTTAGATGGAGCAAGCTGACCCACAAACTCCAGAGAGACAACCAAAAAGTACTACTACCACAAGAGCACAACAAAGAGAAGAGAAAGGTGTTTGGCAGTGCAGAACCCTATGAAGATTTGTACAGTGGTATGTACAGTATACCAATAATCAACATCGTCAGACCAAGGTCAAAAGAGTTTATAACAGGGGTCTCCAGCCTATAGCTCACCAAGGGATTTATGAATTATACATATTCTGCTTATTAACTAAAATGTGATGAATTAAATGGCTGTTCACACTGTACATGTATGATTTTGGTGCTTAACTTTAACTTTTGAGGGTCAATATTTATCGTGGGTACTTAGTCTTAGATCTAGTGGGAACATTTTGGTTATTTCTCTGTACTACGAGTAAATATGAGCTGTAGAAGATTGAATTATGAAGTTCTATGACTCATTTTAAACACATAACTAACTGCATTGTGTAACTTTCCTAGTGCAGGGTCTGTGAAATGCTTTTCACCTTGGAGATGATATTGCTTTTTCTCGAATGTTTCACAGTATGATATAACACATTTACACATGGAGACCAAACCAGACCAAGTTACAGGTAAGATCTGTGGAGAGGTAACTCCGCTCACAATCAGAATGTATTTTTGAGCTATAAAACTATAAAATGTAAGAAATGTAAAGCTGATTACTGTGGAAGATTCCAGGCAGAGCAATGTCATATCCATAGAAAGAAGCAAGTGATGGACTTCCCCAACCAAAAAGTTACATAGTGCACCTTTTAAGTGTTGCATTCTGTTATGTATTTTTGGCAGTTTTTTTTTTTTATTATTATTATTTTTTTTTTATGTATTTTGTACATTTAGAATACATTTTGGGGAATGATTCTTCTTTATGGTTTGGTTTCAACATTACCGTTTATTGTTTATATTTACTTCAACAATATATCACACTTCGAAATATGTTACTGTGACAGGCCCAGCTCACTGTAGCGCTTATATATACTCAATTTCTTGTGACCACAAAAATCAGTAGCACTCTGATATTTATGTTTTTTTGTAAAGGTAGCTCACTGGCGGAAAAAGGTTGGAGACCCCTGGTTTAGAACATACATAGACAAATACATTAAACTGGTATGTGCCATTTGCCTGAAATGCTCTGGTTATGTTTAGTCCAGCCAAACATTCACATGGTGTGGCATAAAGATATAATATGATAAATAAATCTAAATATTAAAGTGAAAATATAAACAAAAAAATGTTTATACTTGTTCTGACCAAGGTCTGAAATATGTAGCATTTTTTCTGCCACTGTGATAAAAAAGGCAAAGTAACTTTTATTATTACTAAACTTTTTAAATCACAGTGGCAATGATTAGCTTCCACTATAACATAAAAAAAAAAAAAAAAAACAAACAGATTTACTGTACAATGACGTGCACATTTTCAGACTTCATTGGTTTTCACATAAAATGAAAGAGATTGAAGTGTGATCCAAGAAGATGGCACAAGAAGACAAATTTGATTGCCCTTGAAACTAAAATAGTTAATGACATTTACAGAACAGTGCTATACTATTGCAATATGGATCCAGTCAATTTGAAACTGGTCCAAGCTACTTCAAAAATGCTATTAGCTAATGCCTAAGATTGGGCTTGATTAATTATAGTGTTGTAAATTAAATGATACAGAACACAATATGATAAAGTGAAAAATGGATATGGACTGTCATCAAAATAAACCTATGTAGTTTTCTGAATTAAGTTGAAATTGATTTTTTTTGTACTGCTGTGGTGTAATCTGTCTTCTTGACCAGTATCACCAAACACTGTTCAATGTCTTGCATTTTGTTTTGAAAACCATTGATTTTTGTTTTGAGACCATATGTTGTTTACAGTGCAAGCATCATCAGGAGCACCAGAGGAACTGTACACTATATACAGAGCATAGTGTAGGATGGAACAGGACACCGGGTTTCTAGACTTCAGTAATTTACCTTTACTTCAACTTCAGTTAAAAGTCCTATGTTGCACAAAATTGACTCTTGCCATGTTAAAATAGTTGTTCAAAAACATACCTGGACTTGTTTTGTTTTCATACACGTGTGAGTAATCCTGAATTATAAGGCTGTGTACCTCTCCAAGAAGCAATAGTTTTCATGTTAACAGCCTCCATTTACCTTTAGTTCACTAGAAATTTGCAATTCCAGGACTGAAATCATTCAAATGATTCTAGTGTATGGAGTTTACAGACACAGTGGAGCACTTCTTGTATTACCACATCACATCACAAAGTGAAACAGATTTTTTGTTTGAGAGAAGAACTACATTTGCAGAGTTTCTGTGTTAATTTAATACGTGTTAATGAAACAAAACACAACACCAGGTGTGTTTTTGATGAGGAAACAACATTATAACAGCGATCAGAAAATAGCATAATATGAACTTTTAAACTTAATTTCTAACCTGGAATTATAGCATTTTGAGTTTCACTTAAAGGGGCTCTATTATGCACAATATCATGCATTCACTTTTTTGATTCTTTCATCCTTTCTTTAAAAAACAAACAAAAAATTAGCACTGTGTTTTAACTTATTAAGTTCTTATTGAACAATTCTTTGTCCTCTGATAAACACGCTATATGTGCAGCCAGCAAATGTTTTAAAATGCAAAACAAGCAAACCATAATACAGCCCCTTTAAGTCCATCTGAGTTCTTCTGAGACCAGCCCAGAATTGACACACCTCGACATAATACAGATTTATAAAGAGTACATTTTAATCCCTTGGTTTCCTCTGTCTGCTCTTACAAACACAAGACTTCACTGTTTAATTATCCAAAGCCTAGGTCCCCAGTCACAAAGGCTCAGCGTGTGTGCACCATTACAGGAACTATATAATTGTAAACTGAGGGTTTCCATTGTATAGGCAGTGTTTGCCCACTGTGTAACTGAGAGCTTCATTAGAAGTATTATACAAGGCTGCTTCAACAATGACACATAACTAGCTGATTGGCAATAATTAGTACCAGTACCATTTAAATTACAGTACATAATATTAGATTACTGGCCACAGATGTCAAGTACCACACTGTAACATTACTGAAACTGTATGTACATTGCACAGCAGTAAAAGTTGAGTTCTGTCAACTTTATCTGTACAATTTATCCTTTGGGAATTCAGTCAATTTGATAAAAGCAACTGGAACCATTGTCCACAAACAAAAGTCTAGTAGTGCATCTGTACTGAACACACAAGACCACGCCACTGTTGGCTTTGTATTGGCAGAAGTGGTGAAGATTGTAATGTTAACCTGTGTGCATTATTGCAAAGATATGTACCAAGTTTCCAAGCACTGAGCGTAGTTTCCCCTCTATCTAAGGGTTCAAAAGTCACTGTAAATGTTCTGTAATATTGTCTGAATGTGGTTACTCATTACTCACTCATGCACCCATTCGTTTGACCAGACGATGTAAGGCTATGTGCCCTAATCTGGCAGAGGCACCTTCTAATGCAGTAACATCTGTGCCCCTCCTGCTCCCTCTGCCCCTTAGCAGTTGGAGCCAGCGGGGGTGTAGTTACTCAACTCTCTGCGGATAGTGCTAAAAGGGGACAACTCCAGTTCGGTGGTGCATTCGTGTTCATTGTCATCACTGCCAGTCGCTGAAGAGGGCAAATGGTTACAGCAACAGCAGCAGCAGCAGTCTAAAAACGCTCGTCCAAGGGGTCTACAGAGGAGGAGTAGCAGGGCTGGGGTAACTGCAGCCCTACAGAAGAGCAAAAGCTGGGAGAGGAGGTGGAGTACAGACATGGTATGCTCTGGGACTCCAGCGGCCATATACGCAGAGACTATATTACAAATGTTCTCTGGCACTACACATGCTCCGTAGACTATAGCCAACGCCACAACAGTGCAGTTCATTTGACTCTCCAACCGGATTTGCTTCTTGTTGCTTCGGACGCTGGCCTGCTCCGCGCGACGGATTTTGCGTGCCGTCACCAATGAGCAACCAATCGTGAACAAAGTTGGCAAGCAAAAGTAGCATCCGAAACACCACCACAGCCTAGCGCCTTCGTAGGTGAGGCCGAGAACGTAGAGCATGTCCGGCAAAGAGGTGGAAATGCGGATGATGCAGCGTTCCACGGGGGGTTCGTCTGGAATGCCAGTGTCTTCGACCACCAGCTGTCGTATGAGGAGCTCAGGTAGGGCCAAAAGCAGAGCGCCGATCCAAATGACGGCTAATTTGGCAGTTGTGGAGGTGCAGTTCTCGATCATCTCGTAGTACATTTGGACATTGGTGGCGGCACGGAAGCGGTCAATGCAGAGCGCGCAGAGTGTGAATGTAGTTACACCCAAAGAAGCAACCTGTGGAGAAAAGAAAATGGAAGTTAATAAAAAAGGAATATCTGAAAATAACGAGAAATTCATAGACCGCAGACTTAATCAATGCCTTTTCACTTAGCCTTACATTGCCTTAAAATTGGTGGAACTCAAACCCGAAACTAATCATGGACTAGACCGGGGTGTCCAAACCTTTGTCATCAAGGGCCGCATATAAAAATACAGACTAAATGGAGGGCCAATCAAGGGCTGTAGACTGGTGCTCAGTACAGTGAATCATTCAAATATATGCGTTTATAACAAGTAAGACTGAGACTTGCAGTGAAAAGCTTAAAGGGGCATTTTGTAACTTTTATAGTGGAATGTCCTTCAAATTCGACTACTGATTTTTTTTTTCCTTCGATTTTATTGTTTTGACTGGAATGTTTCACAATATGATATTAAACGTTTCTATCTTCATGGAGACCAAACCAGACTAAGTTACAGGTCTGCACTGTGGAAAGGCAATCCTACACACAATCAGAATCCCATTTTTCTAGGTATTTTTGAGCTATAAAACCACTTGTTATTTGAATGTAAGGAGGAGCTGTCATTCCAGGCAGAGCAGTGGCATATCCATAGAAACAAGTGAGTGAAGGACCTCCAACCAAAAACTTAAGTTAAAGTCACCTTTGAGGTAATATGGACCAATTCACCTGGAAGCCTGAGGGCCAAGAAAAATAGGTCTGAGGGCAGCATTTGGCCCCTATCCCATAGTATAGACATGTCTGACTTGACCAAACCAGGACTAGAACACCATCAAACCAAATCTAGATCAGAACTAAACAAGGATAAAGTGTGAACTCATGAAATAGCCTAACTGCATTGCATGGTTGAAAGAAAAATAATTAGAACATTTACTACATTATTAGGGATGTAACAATAACTGAAATATCGTGATATCGTATCATCAAAGTTCTCACTGTAATATCGTGGATCCTCACAATATATCAAATTACAAGTCTCTTTGCTTAAATTAAGAGGTATGGTGCAGCAATATCTTTAAAAAAAATACAGTGGGAACTACATAAACCATGATCCTTTGATCCATTTCAGTGTAGACTACATGTAGAAATTCAGTTATAAGCACTTTTAAGTCTTAATTTTTTGGATTAGGTCTTGTCAAGGCATTTTAAGAGAAAAAAAAGTTGCATATTAACAGTTTTGTTAGCCTCCACAAAAAATCGCAACAAATATCGTACCGTGAGATGTATATAGTGAAAATATCATACCGAGAGAGTTGGATATTGTTGCATCTCTAATTGTGAGCCTCCCCACCATATCATGAGCTTTCCCACAATTTGCAATAAATATCGTACCGTGAGATTCATACCGTGACAATATTGTATTGTAAGACTTGGATATTGTTACACGCCTATACATTACCATAAAAGACAAATTAAAATAGCGTTAAATGATATTTGTAGACAATTTATTTCAGTATGGATTTTACACTTGAATGATTAGAAGTAAACACAAGATTACATCAAAACAATGGGATCGATTTCTTTAAGACGTCCTATTTTCCTTCTGTTCAGGTGGATGACACTAAATATTAAGTGTGTAGTGCTTTTACACAGACGCCACACCATCTTGGAAACCCTTGATGCAGACATAAGGCTTGACTCTCCGGCCCCGCTATTAAGCAGCTGGCCTAGTGATAAGGAGAAGTGGTCGGAGTAGGAGCTATCAAGTGGCACAGGGCCCTTAAGTCGTTCTGATCAGGCAGTAAAAGGACTGCAAGCTGCTTATGGTGATGAGCTGTATCCTGTCCTACTCCAAATCACGAGGAAGATAAAACACAGCATTTTTGGACAATTTTAGATAATATTCGGAAGGGTGTTTTTCTCTGACAGATATTGCACTTGAAACACAAAAGGACAACAGTTTTTCTTGTAATTCCATGCGATTATATTCTAGTTCTGATATAGACTGTTCAGGAATTGTCTATCTTAATACTATGCATATGATTTTTTGTCTTAAATTGCTTAAACTGGGTGCACTATGTAACTATGTTTGTTGGAGTCTGTTGCCTGCTTGTTTCTATGGATATATCATTGCTCTGCCTGGAATGTTACACAGTATGATATTAAACAGCTCTACCTTGCATTTCAATTACAGGTAGTTTTACTGCTCGAAAATACCTTGAAAAAGAGACATTAGGACTGTGAGTGGGGTTGCCTCTCCTTGGTCTGATTTGGTCTCCATGAAAGTAAAGGTGAACAGTTCAGAATTTTGGACCTCATTTTCTAGTGAGTCAGAGTGTTGGAGACGTGTGGAGACAGTTTTTAAAATATTCCATCCAGTCCTTGTATTTGCAGAGGTCACTGGTGCTAGACTAGTGCATGTCAGTGGCCACAGTTATCCTGCCACTAAAAACAGTCTTACTCACTCCACAAAACACCTGAAGCAAATCTATTATTACGCCAGATTACTGATGTGAATGTCTGTGTCGAAAGAATAATTTTAGATGTAAAACCAACCTTGGATTTGAAGGATTTATGTCTGAGCAGCAGCAGTGAGTTGTACTTCCTAATAGAAAGCTTGGCAACAGCAGACTGATATCACCTAGCACTTATCTTACCGGCAAAGTAAAATACCGCTGTTGCTGAGAAAATACTCCCTCAACATGAGACGATTCATGCGATGCAAGGTTAGTTTTATTTCAAACATAATAAATACAGACATTCACAGCGACAGTCTGGTGTAACAATAGATTTGCTTCGGATGTTTTGTGGAGTGGGTAAGACTGTTTTTAGTGGCAAGATAACTATGGCCACTGACATGCACCAGTCTAGCACCAGCGACCTCTACAAATACAAGGACTGGATGGAATATTTTAAAATCTGTCTCCACACATCTCCAACACTCTGGCTCACTAGGAAATGAGGTCTTATGTCCAAAATTCCGGACTGTCCCTTTAATACCTTAATGTGAAAGATTCAGAGCATCTGACAAAGCCTAGGGTGACCAAACGTCCGTTTTTCCCCGGACATGTCCGTATTTTGCGTCATGTCCAGGGCGTCCGGGTTTTTATTTTTATAAAGTGATGCAAATGTCTGGGTTTTCAGTATCGTTCATTGGGGGCATTAAACTGAGCGTCTCTCGTAGCGTCTGTGACTCAGAAGGAGCGAGACACAAACAGTCGGTCAGCCTGCAACATACCGAAGCACAAATGTGCATTTAACAATGACTTGTACAAGAAATTCTCCGTTTTCCGTCCCGGTCGGGACAAGTGGGAGGTCATGTGCACAGGTTGTGAGGTGAGAGGACAGTGTCCCTCGTTTATCGCGGGTGTTACGTTTTAAAAATAACCCGCGATAGGTGAAATCCACAAAGTAGTCAACTTTATATTTTACAATTATTCTATCTGTGTTAAGGCTGTAAAACCCCCAGCACACACTTTATACACTTTTCTCAGACAGGACAGGTGCAACCCTTTTTACTTCCTTCTTAAAACTTATTGCTGCTGTCGTCCTTGTGTTATTTTCCTCCTTCTTTATGTAACGAACTGAAGATGCATTTATTCCGTAATGGAGCCTACAGCGCAGAGTCCCGCACGGGTCCTTTTTTGGAGACCCCCAGTACAACACCGCACCCGCGCAGGACAGGACCGCACCTGCCCGTTAACCCGAGATTATATCAAACTTTTGCGCTGCCTACGGCACGTACTGAACCAAGACTAAACCAGGACTAACCCAGGACTGATTCCAGGATTGAAGAGGAGGACTAATCCACGACTGAACTAGGACTAAAACAGGACTAAATCAGAACTGAAACAGGACTCACTATCGGGGCAGGCTCAGAGGTGACCACAGGAGAAAGGACTGGCTCAGCTCCGCACCTCACGGAGTTAAACGCGGCAATTGCCCGATCGCGCTTTGCGGACAAACTGCTCGGCGTTTTCTCTCTTAAGTCCAAGATTAGACCTGGTTTAGTCCTGACCGACCCGTGTGTAATTACTACCCACCTCTAATACACAAGTAAAATGGTGTTTTTATTTTTCATATCACTTAGCATCTGTGTGTGTTCTGAGCAGTCTAGTTCTCTGTGTACAGGATAATATTTGAAGAAAAGTAGCAAGCATGCCAACTTGATGAATAATTTTACGGCATTCAAAACATGTTTGATGAGGTCTAATAAGTAATAAAAATGTTAAACAGCTTTGTACATAAAATTACACTTGCAAGGAACACAAATACGTTATGGCTTTTGCAATCTGTTAGTTCGTCTTATCGGCAGAAATAGTCAATATACAAATGCATTGTCACTGTGTCTATTTACCTTTGTTGTGCTTTGAAAACCTGCACGCAGTGTCTAATTACCCATTATCGCCTCCACACTTTGTTGACAAATGGAGGGAAAGGACTCCTGTCTCTGCAGCATGTGTTTGGATTAGCATTTTGGCAGAGCGGGCCCTGGTAAACTAGCCTACCCCACAGCAGCAGCCACAGCAGTCTACGAGCTGGTGTCCTCGTTTGAACCATTCTTTATCCTGGTTTTGCCTCCAGCGCTAAACCTGCCCGCAGACACCAATGTTCCCCCGCACCCAGCGATACCTTTCTTATAGCCGTTCCTTTTCAAACACCACATCTCCTCTCACCATTGATTCCCATTTGCACATCTTTAGTCCCTTCTTCCCATCCCTCATATCTGATTTAATTACAGCCGCCAGCTTCCCAGATGGCCCCGCCGAATCTGGTTTGAGAGCCCCAATCACATTTAGCGTGTGTGGAAGGATAGAGATGAAATATAACCATAGAGTTGATGCTAGCTCATGCTCAGTGACCCTATGACATACAGGAAGCAGCTAACCAGGCTAATGATGACTGACCATTTGGAAAATCTGGGGCATACGAGTGGCTAGCAGGCTAACAGGCAGCTGACCCTGAGCGCTAACAATGATCCTGGTGAGTCATGACATGATGCTACTGTAAAGGGCTGTAATTGTGTTAGCGTAGCCCGTCTGTGATACCCGGGTTCAT